ACATTTGCATTTTTTTTCCTTTTAGTGGTCTGGCCCCTTTCCCTAGGGCTGCTATAATTTTCTGGGGGTCCGCTCCAGTGCCTGGTTGCGTTGGATTTTCCAGTGCCTGAAGCAAAGTGAAACAGCAAGGATGGCAGACTGCCCCTTCCTCTGGGAGCTCTGTCCCAGAAAGGTATGGACCTGTTGCTAGTCCCAACACACCTGTAGGAGGTGGCTGGAGACCCTGCTTGGGAGATCTCACTCAGTCAGGAGGATTGAGATCAGATACACCCTTAAAGAGGCAGTCTAGTACACAGAGTAGCTGTGTTCTGCTGGGGTAGTCCTTCTGCCCCTCGTCAGCCTGGGCTCTTCGAAACCTAGAGGCTGGAACCAGTAAGCTGCCGAAACAGGAAAGATGGCAGCCCACCCGTACCTGGGTTCTCTTTTTTAGGGAGCATCCAAATCCTTTGTGGTCCGGAGAACACAGGTTGGGGTGGTGGAGGCCCTAGTTGAGAGGCCCCAGCCAGTGCGGAGGAATGGAGAGGAGATCTGCTTAAAGAAGCAGTCTGGTCGTGTTTTGGTCCAGCAGATGTGCTATGTTGGGGGAACCCTTCTCTCCCTGGTCAATTTGGACTCTCCACAGTCCACAGGCTGGAATGGCTGGGTTGCCCAAACAGCAAAGATGGTGGCCTGCCCCTCACCCAGGAACTCCGTCCTGTCCCAGGTAGGTGCAACAATGTTGCCAGGGTCTGGCTGGAATTCCAAGCCAGTAGGTCTTATTCTGTGGGGTATCGTGGAAGTGGGGCCTTCAGACCAATGCTGCTCTGCCCCCTGGATTCAGCTACCTTTTTAGGGATATATATGGAGATCCGACTTGTCACCTTGCCTGAGTTGCTGTCACATTTGCCAGGGAACCCAGAGCCAGAGTATATGAAGCTCCCGGGACTCCATGTGTGTCTGAGTAGCTTCTCTGCCAGGACTTCATACAGTTCTGTGTGTCAGACTGAAGACTGTGTGGCGAGGGTTCACGGGGGCATCTCCTGACCCAAGGGTTGCAAAGATCCATGGGAGAAGTGTGGTTTCCTGGGGGGCTTCACATTCACTAACTGCTTCTGTGGGTGGGGGAGGTTCCCATTGCTCTGTTTCTCCTGGTTGGGTCATTGCCCTCCCCTTCTTTTCTGCATTCTCTGTAGGTCAAACTGATACCCTGATCAGTCCCGGTGTGAGCACCCGGATGTCCCAGGTGAAGGTTATGTATTATTCAGCCCCTTTATTCCTCTCTGTGAGAGCCACACACTGTAGTTGCTTCTAGTCAACCATTTTGGCCCCTGACCACGGAACATTTTCATTGGATGTTCCACAGACATCTCAAATGCAACATGACCAAAACTGAACTCACCATTTCCTTCCAACTACCAGTCCATCCTGTCCCTCCTCTCTCTCTTTTTTCAATTGCTAGCAACACCTTCCACTCACTTTTCCTGCTCCCAGCAAATTTTGAGTTGACTTCCTCACTTAATTAAATCCTTGCTTTCTGTCTTTATTAATTTCTCCTAGATTTTTGGTTTACAGATGACCCCCGTTCTTATGTGCCTAAGTGGTTGGCATTGTAAAAAATGTAAGTTCACTTTTTCTCTCACGACAAAGGAGCTGAGATGTGAGTGAAAGGCTGCAGAATGAACATGCCACCTTGCACTGAAACCAGTGGTATTATATTTTGGTATAACTGAATATTGCAATATAATAAACGAATTAACATTCAACAGATGTTATAAAACAAGGAATAGTTTTTTGTGGTTGATGTATCATTTCAAAGCTAAAGTATTCTATAGCTATATTTAATTTAGATTGCTAGCTAATATTGTTATAAAAAATGGGAAGAAGTTCTAAAATTCAGAGGTAGGTAATTTCCAGGTAAGTGCCACAAAAAGTAGTTATAAAGTCCACATGTGTAGCTGGAAAAAGCCTGTGTTGGGATAATGGTAATGGTGAAGGTTGCAGTTAATTCACGCTAGTGAATTTTAGTGAAATTAGAGAAAATACACTGGTGTGAATTTAGTGTAATCTTGACCCCTATACCCACACAGGCTTAGAAAAGTTAAAAAACCTGCACATGGTGAAGTTGTGCCTTCTGGGCAGCCAGGGTGCTGCTGATTTGCCTGCTAAGTCAGAATGTATTCAATGTTAAAATTAAAAGGACACGGCTACACACACATCACTTCTCTATACACACACATATGTTCACACAAGCCCACACACACACACTAGAAGGACCCTGCACGGTACGAGATTCAAGAATCCAGTGCAGTATCACAGCCAGCCAGCCAGCCACCAGCACTGACACTAGATGTAATCTTGTACTTACTAGTGCTACCACTCCTTCATCATAAAAGAGCAAATTGAAGCAGTTTTCAAATAGTGTGGGAGACCAAAGGGAAATCTTTTCTGCTTCCAGTAAGCACAGAAGGCTATTAATGAGCCGCGGATGGCTCCCCCACTACACAGAGCACTCAGCCACTTCCTCCTTCCTGTGCTCACATAAGCTGTGTTTATGTTCTAAAGCTGCAGTTTGAAAAATGACTTTGGTTTTGAGAATTTATGGGCTATATATATTTATGTATTTTATTTCTGCTTGCCATGGGGAGTTGAGTATCTGCTATTGACATAAAGTTTATAAAGCACTTTGAGCTTCTAAGAAGAGAGATGATTACCAAGAAGGGTAAGAACATTACAGTAGAGTAGGATGGAAGTATTGACCCTATTTTTCTATTCATTTTATTTTTTTTGCATTATAATAACCTGACCTTTAGAAATTCTAGGTGCAAAGGGGACATAGGCCACATGAAGAGTTGATAGTGGACTTGTAAGGAAAAGTAGTAAGCAATTTCGTAAAATGAATTCATAATATATGAGAGTACAACTCTTTGAGTCACAGAAAGTTCAATTTCAATTCTTGCTCTGCCACCTGCAATGTGTTACCCACTATTCCATGAGCTTTACAGCAATCAGTTAATCTGTATAACACTTGTATGAGGTGGAGAAGGTATTGTTCATATCTTCATTCTATAGGTGAGTCAACAGAGGTACAGAGAATTTGATACCATGACCAAGGTCACATAGTCCATCAGTAGAGCCAAAATTAGCTGAAAAAAGTATTCAGGTTCTAGCAGTAGTAATGATAGCTATTATCAATTAAGTATAAGTGTTTGCCCCCTAGAATATCTGATAATGTCTTATGTACAAAGTACATAGTAAGAGCTAAAAATATTAGTTTTTAAAAATTTAAAGCATAAAATACACCACCTAAAAACATGTAGTAGGATGTTTAGAAGTCAATCTTTTGTTTATAACATATGACTGTTTCCTCATAACATTTAACTGATTCATTATTGAGCAGAATAAAGCGTATAAGTTGGGTGAGAAGCTGATACTTCCCAGCTTATTTGCTTGTGGCGGTCATTTGACGCAGCTTCCGCACCCATTTAGATTGAGTATCTGCCCCTTTAGGGTACAGCTGATTCAAAAATAAAAAGAAAACCAACCTACCCCAAGCATCATTAGCTAATGAGTCATTTTGATATGCAGCTGATAAAAATGAGTTTTTGAAGAAACATCATGGAAGGACATTAAGTATACATGCATTTCAAGTACCATAGGTGGTCCTGGTAAATTATTCTAAAATAATTTAGAACAGGAGAAATGAACACAAGCTGTAAAATACCACATTTTTAGTCAGAATGGCTACAGAGAAGAACAAACAGTTCATGTCCCCAAACACTTCTGAATTTCACCTTACAGAGCACACTTGGTTGAGAGTACGTACTGCACGAACAGGATTGCTCTATAATAACTTGATGATTTTGCTGAATTCAGCTTGCAGGATTGAATCTGGACATCAAGCCCAGTCAGAGCATAAATATATCATCACTGCTAGCATTCAGAGCAGCTGGAAGAAGAGGTCCCAGAATCAAGAAAAATAAATGAAGCTGAGATCAAGAGAGAAAGGTGAGATCCAAATAGAACTTGTTCACATAACATGGAGCAAAAAATAAAGTGAAGTCAATGGTTTATTTTCACATGAAAATAAGGAAGAAAAATAATGTAACATTCCAAGTGGCAAAGTCCAGCCATTTCGTAAGTGAGATAAATAGTTACATCTCTGTAGATAGATAGACAGACAAATAGATATTAAAAATATAGTGACGTGCAAATATATGACCTTTGCTGGGGATGAAAAACATTTACTATAGCAGTTTTTTTTATATTTTTCTTTTTTCACTATAAATGAATATTTTCATAGCACACGTGGTTTTTCAAATTTTAAATATATTGTAAATAAACCTTGAAATATAACTTCTTGGTCCTTTCTCAGTATGTGTTTGTATCACTATAAAATAAATTACTTTTTGTTTATACTATACTTTTAAGGATAAATCACTTTAAAAATAATATTTAAAATTGTATTTTTTATTAAAAAAATCTCTGCTAAAGGAGTTTTATTCCTCCTCTTTTTGTTTTCTGAATAGTTAGCCAAATGAAATTAAGAGGGATAAAGCTGATAGAACTTTTTCTGAAATGAACTTGAGTCACTGTTAGTAAATACACAGCAATGCAGTTGAGCATTATAGGTAATGTATACAGTATCATACCACAGAGTCAAATGTGAAAAGCAAAATTAATGACTATGTGAGGCAATTGAGTTTCATTTAATCTCTTTCTTCATAACATTATTTGGTATACACACACACACACACACACACACACACAAACGCAGGTATACACACACACATATAGCAAGTGAATTTATAGGATAAATCAATTACGTTATTGAGTATACAGCCCCCTCCCTTTGTGACACTCTAATGTATCACAGTATCAGGGAAATGCACCCTAGAGAAAACACTGCTATTCTTCACAGAAAATCCATGAATAACATTATGCAAAAATTAATTTATGATAAATGATTTAAATATAGAACTGAGAACAGCTTATTTAAATGCCATCAGAAAAGAACACCTCACCCGCAAAAAGGAGTCTAGGGATCCATTCTCCATATATTCCACCACAATCATTACTGGTCTGCCTGCAAAAGAGCAAGAGAACACACATGGACTAGAGCAATTACAGGAATATGTGCCGCAGTTAAGAGATACCCAGCTGTGGCAACTAAATTATTTGTATTTTATTAATAGGAATTTCATTTTCCAACCTGCTTCTATAAAAGTGTTCATATTATACATAGTCATCTCTATATTTCTTAATAGCATTATTTCCTTTTGAGTTCATAAAAGGGACACGCATTACAATATAAATTACAAGGGAAATAGGTACTTCTTTTCCTAAAGCCCTGCAATCACTTGTTCAGATTATGTTCTTTTTGTCCTCTAGTTTTTCCTTACAAAACAATGGACAAGCTCAAGCCAGGATTTAAGCAGTTATTAGAGCTGCTTTTGCAGCTGTGGCACAACTTCTAACAGTGCCGCAATTTTAGCTGACTTATGTTAGAGTGGGCATTTCTGAAGTATTCCTAAGGCAAAGCAGACAGGAGAAACTCATAAATTCTCTTTAAGAAATTATAGACCATGGGTCATAGTCTGATTTTCAGAGCCTTTAAGCGGAAAAGTTTTAGATTGATGAATGCTACACAGCTTGTAGGATTTGTAATAGTTCTGATCCCATAGAATCTGATCAACAGAGCAATGATGGCAGTACATGAAAAATAAGCAACTCTGATTTTGTAGTGTGGTATAGAAGCTAAGAGCAGAAACGAATTTCTTTTCTTTTTTATCATATCAATTGTTACAATGTTACAGTCCCAATACACCTCTATTAGGTAGAATATTCGACATAAATAACTGATTTATTTCAAGGCGGAGAATGCATTTGTTCTGCCCAATTGCCCAAGTTTAAAAGATAAACTCATTTTGGATGCAGGGGAAATGGTATTCACCCAAAATAAGCATGTATGACATATTTAGTTTTTACCTCTATATTTTCTCACTTATAGGAATTTTTAGCTTTTAATCTGCACTATGCACAGTTTTTCCTTACAGACACGAAGAAGATCTGGAAGGAACTTATGTGTACCAATGATGGAAATATTATATCATTGTAATTCATGTTCCTTTTATGAACTCAAAGCCTTGAGGGTTAGAACGGATGACTATCACGAATTAGTACAATGTATGCAAATGCTACGCTTTACATTTGAATCTATATTTTAAATAAAGATGTGCTAAAGGTTAAACGTATTAATAAAGCTCCCAATTTATCATGCATAAAATTAGAACCCAAGGAAGTTTTCCATTTGTAGTGAATATTAACTTATATTCTGTAGTGTTCCTCAAAGTCATTAATTTTACCCAAATCTGAATGAAGAACTTTGTCGGCAATTATTGAGCTCAAATGAACTGTCAGCACTCTTGTGGACAGTGTTCTAGAAGATTTAGGTGTAATCCTTAAAGTTCATCATGAAATCTTTTATTTGGCCGTGAGTTTCAGGGAGTCTGGAGGTGAGAGACTGATACAAACACTCAGGTAGCAAGGTGGGGAAAATAAAAGGTCATTTTTGTACTTAAATATAAAGATTCTGAGACCAGTATTCCCGTTTCTGAATGTTAAGGGGAAAAGTTGGGTTATTACAACGACTGCCTGATGCCCCTGCCTGCAGACTCACAACTTTGGAATAATCTATCTTGACCATTGCTGTCAGAGGAACGCTTTTAGTTTTCATTTTCTTTAACAAACATTTCTCCTTCCCTTAAGAATGCCAGTCTTATTAGAATAAAAAGAATGTGCAAGCATTTCACTTGTATTTCTACATACCATAATTATTTTTCTTATGCAGATATAGAAATGGAGGGATTGAAAATGTAACTACTTGTCCAAAGTCACATAGCTGGTAAGTGGCAGTGTCAAGTAATCTGTCTCAGAAATTTAGATCTTAACCTTTATGGTATAGGTGCCTTTCAGACATTATAGATAAAAGCTCCATGTCTCGTCCTGTTAGTCAATTCTTTCTAGTGATGTACCTCATCTTTCCTACTAGCCTTCGTGTCCACAGCCCTACCAGTTTTCATTGTTATATTGCTTAATCCTCTCTCCGTCCTTGACTGGGGTATTTACCTGCCAGGATAATATCTCTATTTGCTTTGCTCTCTAACCTCACCACCTCTCCCCACTCCATTAGAATGTATACAACACGCCTCTACCTTGAAAGTCTCTCATAGTTGCATTTCCATCACATCTATTGTGTACACTATTAAATGTTGTGCCTGTTTTTATAGTGTTTCTCTTTCTTATTTCCCATAATGCTTTATATACTCATTCATGGGGTTTTCAAGGTCACTTGCCATAGAGCTAATCATAGCAGGTGCTTCATAAAAACAAGTTAACTTTTCTTGATTTGACAATTTTCAAGAAAGTAACTCTGGAGAATTTCAGCAAGATCTGACCTATGTGAATACACAGTACTTCAAAATTATTTCTCTCTATAACTCTTTGGGAGATACTTTAGGCAATCTTAAAATTCATCAGTGACAAGTTCTGTCTTCTCATTGAGAATAACAAAGAATCAAATGAAGAATTCCTTGGTTTCCTGTGAATTAGAAGTTTCACATTTGAGTTCTTAATCTTTTGTATTTTGTGTAGTAGCATCAATAGAGAACAGCTGTTAATTGAACTAAGGAATCTTTTTTATTTCTTTTTACCACTGCTGGCATCTAACCTGTAATTTGTTTTGGTTTTCAATAGGGAAGAAGCTAGTTCTACTGTGAAGATTATAAGCAACTTACAATCCATTATTACATTTTATAATTAAGAAAATAGATAAGTAAAAGGAAAATTATGAAAATTAGGATGTCAATCTTTCCATTTGTTTTAGGTGACAGAAGTCTATTGACGACAGTGTTTTTTTGTCTTTTTCAATATATAAAAATTATATATTGCATTATAGCTCTTGGAAGATATATTTGGAAGTAATTTATTATCTTTCTAAATTTTTAAAATATTACACTTTATTTCCTTTTGCACAATTTTAGCCAGTTACTCCAAGTGCCTCATGTCACAGAATCATCTTAGTATTTGCATTGTACTAAAGTCAGTGGACAAACCAGGCTTCTTGAATTAGTCAATTCCTGAAATCCCATCATTTTCAGAAGTCTCATGTATTTGATTAAGAGATTTTCAAAGATACTTCTACAAGTCACACAAAGTGAATTTCTTAGGTTTTCCTTCATTAATATCCCAGAAATGGTTATGAATATTTCAGACTGCATTGGAATGAAGATCCTCTAAGAAATCACTTATTGATATTCTGGAGACAATGGATTGCAAAAACCCTTTATCAGCCTTTTCATTGACAAGAAAAATTATTTTCTTACAGTAAGACTTTAAGGGAGTATTGACTAATATGTATTTTTCAAAGGTTCCCTAATACTTATGATGGTTTTGATAAAGGTGGTGTGGATAAGCTATATAATCATAAGACTACACTTTTCTCATGCTGTTGAAACAAAACAAAATAACTCCTTAAGAGTTCCATAGATATCCTGGTTAAAGTATTTTGCCCTTGAAATCCATTTTTTTTTTGGTCTCAGAGAATATTTGTGAAAAAAAGGGGCAACAGAGATTTAACATTTTCATATTAAGTAATGAGTTTGTGCTGGATGTGGTATTTTCTATTAGTTTGGCAATTTCTAATGTGTAGACAGTAAAATGAAGAATCAAAACAAATCTCAATAACCTCAAACCTCTATTACAGATTTAAATCATTCCATTTATTTAATATTCTATCAACTCTATATTTTGTCTACCAGGTAATAAAATTTGTGATGATAACTTAGATTGACAGTTACAGTGCCTGCATTTTATTTTTCCTCCGTTGCAATTCAGGAATCTTTGGACCAGTTATTTAATCTATTTCTCCCTTCCCTGTTGCTGTTGTAGAGATAGTGATTTACTAATTATAATCTCAAATGAATTTGATAATAAATGAAATAGTCTTATCCCTCTAAGCCTCTCAGAAGATACGAATGATGCCATTTGAACACAGTTATATTACATTAAATCAGTGTTTTTATTCACCCAAGTACTCAAATTTAAGAACTCTTTTCCTCTTGTAGTGTTACCTGGTGACTATCAGATCATGTTCCAAATACATCTTATCCTCATTCAGTTCAAATCCAAACTTTTAACATTGCTCTTGAAGTTTCTTTTCCTCTTATAATTCTGTGTTGGTTAAAACCTCACCATCCATCTAGTTACCCAGGTTTGAAGCTTTGTGACATTGGACTTCTCACTTTATTAAACCATTTCTAGTTCATGAGTTATGAAGTTCTGTGATTCCACATAAAACCTGTTGCCACTGCCCATTTTCTGCCCTTACTTTCTCTTGCTCAATCATATTTTACTGGTTTCCTTGCTCCTATCTGGTACCCCATTATAAACTAACTCTTGCAAAATAATCATTTTGAACAGTCAGTGATGTAAAAAAATTTTTTTAAATGGCTACTAAATAGCAAGTAGTCTTCTGGGTTCTGGAAACACATCGTCAATCAATATTGAGATTTCTTCCCTCAGGGTGTATAGTAAGAAGGCACTATAAATAATTCACAGTAAATTAGTATAAAGGGCTAATGCCTCATCCCCCCCATTTTAAGACTGAATTGTTTATTGTAGAATTAAAGTCTAAATTGCCTGGTAATTAAGTTGATTTGCAATCTCTTCTCTACCTCCATTTATAGTGTATCTTTTACTTCACCCTATTCCCATAGCTCCTGCTTTTCAACTAATTAAGGAAGTGAAAGGTGTCTACAAGGAGAACTACAAAACACAGCTGAAATAAATCAGAAATGAAATAAATAAATGGAAAAACATTTCAAGCTCACGAATTGGAAGGATTGCTATCATTTATATGGCCATACTGCCCAAAGCAATTTACAGATTCAATGCTATTCCCACCAAATTAACAAACTAATTTTTCATAGAATTAGAAAAACTATTCTAAAATTCATATGTAACCATAAAGAACCCAGATAGCCAAACCAAGTGTAAGCAAAAAGAACAAAGCTGGAGGTATCACAT